GGTAGAAATTTCAATATTCAGAGCCAAAAGAAGCAATAAAACGAAATTAACTTCGGAGACAAGGAAGACGCGTCTTTCCATGACCACACCTTCACACCTTCACACCTTCACACCTTATAGATTGAGGAATAGTATAAATTATTTACTCGTTAATTTAATCATCTTTAATTGATAATCAACTAAGTGTTCACTTTCTCGTCGATGCAGCACAACAATGATTCTGTGGAAACTATTTGCTTTGTCCTCATGTGTGAGGTGTCCCAGAACCGTGACTAAGTCTCCTGCTTGTGCAGTGTTCCACATGATAGGTTTAACTGTCGTCCAAACACTAAACTAAAACACTGTTAATTTGTATTTCAGTGAAAACGGTTGTCATCCTGTTGATCATGGAAGGTCTATCGGCTTTTTTACACGCTCTTCGACTCCATTGGTGAGTTCCTCTTTCCTTTTTGAAGCACACGCCAAAAGTTTTCACCTGGTTTTATTCTTTATTTCCACTCCTTACGTATCGAATTTTGATGAAATAGATTTATTTATTCATAATCTTTTGCTTTTGTTTCTTTTTAGGGTGGAGTTCCAGAACAAGTTCTATCAAGGAACAGAATACAAGTTTCAGCCTTTTTATTTCAAATTAATTTTAACTGGTCAGATTGAGGAATAGTATAGTTAAAAATAATACAGACTACCTTATGCTTCAGGCTCATTCCAAGGGATGTTTCGTTCAGAAATTGCCAAAAAAGCCCTGGGAACGAGGGTGGACCGATGTCTCAAAACGAGTTGACAGGCTTCTCCACTTTGTAACAGAATTTAAAAAAATAACTGCTATCACAAGTAATTTTCTGTTTCAGAGGCGGTAAGAATTCTTTAAAGACTACAACAATTTTTAGATTGTTAAAGAAAATGTATTATAAAATTAATAATAAATTTTTTTTTATTTAAACACGGCTATTTTAACAGGAAGACTGGTGTACATAAAGCCGTGTCACAAACAAAATTTGAACAGGCTATGAGGCTGTTTAAACGCTTGTGTTACATTACGCTAGAAAACATACCTAGATTAAAATGCGAATAGGCAAGAATAAAGTTTGTTTTAAAATTTACGTGAGAGCAGCAAAATTACTGCAAAATCACAAGACGTGGTGTTAGGGGTGGTATTATTAACAAGCCAGGTTGAACAGACTTTTCTCGGCATGCGACCATTAAAAAGTGGTTGACCTTACGTGAACTTACTTAGCGTGTATCCTGTGGTGCATGTAGCTGGTGTCCCTGTGCACTGGAACGGCGAACACATCTTGGGAGCTCAAGCTTACCTGCCTGCACTTCTCCCCTCGCACTGCTCCACCAACCAAAGTGCCACGATTCGGAATACAACTCAAACAGCCAGGGATCAGATTGCCGCGAAAACTGTTACTGCTGAACTCTGGTTAACACATTCTAATTGGTTTATCACATTTTGTGGATCGCTGACTTGGAGCTTTTTTCCATTGAGTGTCGTAAAAGTAAAACAAAAACCAAAGTAATCACTCTCGCCAATCACAAAGGACACAGACGATACAGTGAACCAATCAAAACTTGACTTAATTACATGTAGCTGACGTAAAGCGCGGGAAAACGTGTGCGAACGAGTCACGATTGGTTTTGCTTTTACTTATGATTGGATGAAAGAGTGGCGCGTGTTCTTTTAAGCCCATCAAATCGTGCAGCGAATTACGAGTTGAAGTGAGCGATCATGTTGTGCAAAGGGTGGTCGGTCATCATTCATCTGTAAAGTTCTGGCATTGATTTATTCTCCACTGACAGCGGGTAATTAAGGCCCGGTTTTTACTAGAGACGCAAGCACAAGCACAAGGGCAAACACAATAATTCTTATTTCACCATGAAAACGGCCTTGACTTAGTCATAAGCACAAGCAGAAACACAACGATTAAAATGTTTCCTTTTTCATCCTGAATAAATCAAGAACCGTCGCAAACAGAACTTCGAAGATGAAGCAAACAAAAATAGGGGTTTCGGCAAAAAACTGAACCAAATAACTGATTCCCGGTCAGCTGACCCCGACTGACCCCCTTACCGACACCCTATAAAGTGAAAGAAAAAGAAATTGAAAAAGCCCAGAACTATCAATGGGAGTTGTGGGACCAATTCAAGTTCACAAATAAATTCAGCCTGAAATTTCCCACGTCCCAGTCCCCAAGTCCCCGTCCCACTTTTAGTCACAGCCGTCTCCCTCTCTTGTCTTACAGGTCTCCGGCCAAAAGTAATTTCGTAAAAAGACGCTTCAGGCGGCCCAGGAAGGCTAAAAAAACACCACACGAGTCGATTAACGTTTCGGCTAACTTTATTGGTATATTCCGACCGAGATGTAATTTAGATATGTAATTTTCAGAACTTTATTCATAAAGGCTCATAGATTCTGTTCGTTTCATATAAACAATTATTAACCACGAACACATAGAGTGGTCAGCCTGTGGGGTCAGTAGGGGGTCAGTGTTTTGTCGAAACCCCTTGAATAGTAAATATCTAAGTGTACTTGTTTTAATTAATTGTGTTCAATAAGCTTACTGGTAAAAAACGATTTGATATTGCGGTACGAGGCCCGAGTAAACGCCCAGAGTGTCTACGCCTTTTTGAACGAGGAATATTTTCATACTTCATTCGCCTGTTTATTCGCTTGGTTGTTCGAGCGTGGTCTTCCATTAATACGAATGTTTGTACATGTAGCACCACTTTCTTAGAACGAATTGCGAAGAATAAAGAGACAATAAACACATATGCTTGCATCACGGCTGTAACGGGCGTCTCGGAGCGTCGCGAACCACCAACTTGTTCTTGACTAGACTGTTCACAACCCCCTATTTTAATGCCTATTCTCTCGACTCAAACTGATTGATTACAAAATGCAAAACTAGGAAAACCAATTAATTTTTTGAGCAATTTCCTGAATTGTAACCTGAAATGCACCGAAGTTTTCCAAAAAAAGGTTGCAATCATTCCAAACTTGAGGTTGGGTGTCCCGTGTTACTCGTCAGGGAATGAGAATGGGGTTACCTGTGGTGCTTTTCATTTCTGTGACTATTACACAACGTATTTCTAACAAGCTTGTGTCATCTGATATCCTCGTGATTTGCGCGGGAAGACTGAAGCTGGCGGAAGCGATATTTACTACTCTCGAACAATCAATCGACTGCATCGGAGTCACATGAGTCGAATGTGAGGTTTATTAGCATGCCAGTTGCATGCGATCGCTGTTTTTCGCCAAATAAATACCCTTTCCTTCTTTGCAAAGATGTCTTCCCTCTTCAGATCGGAGGAAATGACATTGGCTCAACTCTTTCTTCAAGCTGAGGCAGCTTATTCTTGTGTCAGCGAACTCGGAGAGTTGGTAAGCAAGATTGAAAACCGACTTGGAAACCAATTGCTATTAATAAGTTTGTTTCTGAACCAATTTTTTGTCTTCTCTCTCCTTTGCTATTAGGGCCTTGTGCAGTTTCGTGATGTAAGTATTACATTTTTGTCTTTTCGTATTTCCTTCGGTTCTCGTCAGCTTAGCTAGTCCGCTTGAATTTATGAAGTTAACAGCAAAAGGTAANTTTTGAGCAATTTCCTGAATTGTAACCTGAAATGCACCGAAGTTTTCCAAAAAAAGGTTGCAATCATTCCTAACTTGAGGTTGCGAGTCCCGTGTTACTCGTCTGGGAATGAGAATGGGGTTACCTGTTGTGCTTTTCATTTCTGTGACTATTACACAACGTATTTCTTACGAGCTTGTGTCATCTGATATCCTCGTGATTTGCGCGGGAAGACTGAAGCTGGCGGAAGCAATATTTACTACTCTCGAACAATCAATCGACTGCATCGAGTCACATGAGTCGAGTGTGAGGTTCATTAGCATGCCAGTTGCATGCGTCGCTGTTTTTCGCCAAATAAATACCTTTCCTTCTTTGCAAAGATGTCTTCCCTCTTCAGATCGGAGGAAATGACATTGGCTCAACTCTTTCTTCAAGCTGAGGCAGCTTATTCTTGTGTCAGCGAACTCGGAGAGTTGGTAAGCAAGATCGAAAACCGACTTGGAAACCAATTGCTACTTTAAAACAAGTTTGTTTCTGAAACAATTTGTTGTCTTCTCTCTCCTTCGCTATTAGGGCCTTGTGCAATTTCGTGATGTAAGTATTACATTTTTGTCTTTTCGTATTTCCTTCGGTTCTCGTCAGCTTAGCTAGTCCGCTTGAATTTATGAAGTTAACAGCAAAAGGTAAGTTTATGACTCAAACTTGTCTCTTCAAACAACGATGCTCTGAGACCTGCCGTTGTGCTAGCGTTTATTGTCTGAACAATCTGGGAATAACTAAGCAAAAAAGTGAAATTTCTGACGCGATACCTAACACCTGACATATGGTAACTGATGTTTTCTTTCATCAGCTGAATCCAGACGTGAATGCTTTTCAGCGCAAATTTGTTAATGATGTCAGGCGATGTGAAGAGATGGAAAGAAAACTAAGTAAGCT